TGTGTTGTTGATTTTGGAAAACACTACTGAGGCTGCCTTGCTTCCCTTCAGGAAATCTACATTTCAACCAACTTACATGACATTCTATGTTATGTTGACTTTATCACATGAAAGTTTATAGTGCATTTCATCAATTAATAAATAAATGTGAAAATCGTAATTTTCAACACAAATAATAGTCTCGCTACCTTAAAGCAAAATTAGTGTACTATCGATCATTACACCGCAATCGTCGTAGATTGTGTCGGGGGAATAAAGATTTAAATGTTGCCTTTTATTACAGCATATTACAGTCTCGTGTGGTATTGTGCTCAGTGTCAATCGTTTGGAATGCACATCGAAAAACCTCAATATTTAAGGTCCTTCTCGACGTCAACGAGATATACCAATATAAGCCGCGGATCCGTACACATAACACAGTGTAAGGTCCTCAAAGAAATTTTAGAACTATAATTTCACTTGTGGAACGTACATCATAAGTTTCGATCTAGAACTTTTTGATTTCGGCTAACAAGGTAGGTTCCATATGTGGGGAAAGATTCAGTTTTTGTTTTTTCTTTGACTATCTTGTATGGGTTTTTTTATTTGGTTATTCATCCAATTATATATTTGTTTGTTATTCTTTTCTATCAGGGGTTTACTTACACTATAGTTTATGATTTGGATATTGATTGTTAGAATGCATAATTGTATTTATACTTATGTAAATAATTAATATATAGCATCATACACATATACATTTAGTGCATATATGTTTAAAATAGCATAGTCACATCACTCAGTACCATTAGCTGATTAAAAAAAAACGTTCTCATACAGGTACAAACAAATAATGTTGATCAGTCACATGGTGTGTCAGCCATCTTGGATTCCTGACAAAAGTGACACAAGTTGGAGCATGCTTCAACCAATCAACTTGATTTTTTGCAGAATGTACGACCAAAGCGTATTTTAGGGAAAAAATATAGTGTATATCAGCAGCTTCCATATCATTGGTGTTTTACGTTTGTTTCTGCATTCCTCGGTGCGTACATCTTGAGAATATAGTAATTTAGTTATAATATAGTAATTTAGTTATATATATATATATATAGCTAGCTAGCATTGACTTATATATACTACTTCCGATTGTACGTGAGATTATCCGAGATCTTATTTTCTGGTAATATTATAAATGAATATGTGATATTTTGGGCAAATTTGGAACACTGCAATACACTGAGAATGCACTATTAGTTACACCACTGATCAAAATGAGGCAAATTACAAGTGTGATTCGTCATATTTAGATAACGACTAGAGATAATGTAACATCGTGTCCATACTAATGATCATTCTAATGATCAGACACAAGCTTACTTCATTGTCTCATTTAACTGAGTCACGTGATATGCTAAAACAGTTATACACCCAATTCATTGTAATTTATACATATATGCAGACTGGCGCAGTGGCAATTTATTGTTTTATATGGTGGTGATTAATATGCTAATGAGTAGCATGAATTTTAAGCAGTTAAACAATAACTTGTGTTAACCCCTGTTAACCTCCGACCCGTGTAATGCACGGACTACGATTTTAAAAAAATCATAAAACTGGCACGGTTGGGCCAGTGATGATGTTCTCAGATCTTTCGCCGACGATACTCTGAGATTCAGTACGTCATCATGATTTAAAAACAATCCCCAGGATATCGATGGTATTTTGAAGCTTATAATAGAAAATCTTTATACTTGTATTCAATATTTAATTAAACATGAGCGAATAACAGCTGCAAATAGCAACACAGTGACACTGCATATTTTAAACAGATAACTTAATTACCGACAGATATACCGTGGGTCTGTATGTGCATTTTATGGATTACATTTATTATAGGGATGATGTATAATTTCCCGATTCGCAATGGGCAAAGTTGTTTTTAAAACAATATCTGTATAGTTTTCGGAACTGCATTTATTGCAGATAAACAACAAACATAGCTGCTATGCTAAAATCAGGATCAACATATACAATATGTTACAATGTATTTAAAAAAATAAAATCATTGAAGCATATTGAACAGACATGATTACTAGAGGACTCAATATTGAGTGTGGGCCACTGCATACTGCATCGTAATTATAGTGTTTATGTTATCCTATATAGACAAAAATCGAACGATTAACATATACACGTATCGTCACGAATATCACGATCGCTAGGCGTGTGTGTGCGTGTGTGTGTGAGAGAGAGAGAGAAATCAACAGTTTCGCGGTGTGGCATATGGTAGTCAGTGGGCCCGATGAGATATACGGATGAATGACTGTGGTCAAACTATTACGCTGTGTATGCTGGTCGCTTTTTCTCAACATTCGGCAAAAATCTTTGTAAAGTACCTTATTTGGAAATGACTGCCGAGATCTCGTTGAGAGTTTGAAGTCTTGTTGTTGCCCTAAAAATATTCTCTACGCATATTTGTAATAATGATAGCGACGATGGTATCCTGAAAATAAAAATGGAATGGGACATTGGTTGGGGACAAGAACAAATTGTGCGATTTTCTCTTTTCAGTGATATTCAAGTGAGTATTTGTAATTATTTGAGTTGTAATTATATTTTGTATATACATACTTAGATTGTGAGTTTTAGAGGGCGTTGTTTGGCATTGTTCATTGCCGCAAATAATTAAGTTTATAAATCACAGTTGACTCAGTTTTGCATCAACTATACTCACCGCTTTTTGGTTCTCACTCACTTAGTTTTGAAATGTGTGATAACAGACACACTTCCACCCAGAAAGCATGTATCGGAGAATAGTTATCACCGGCGCCCCCTTTGAATGTGGTCTCGAAGGCGATTAGTGTTTGATCACGTGCTTTACTACCGACCTTGTATTCGCTGTTGTGCATAACACTGTGATCATATTTACTGCGCTGTTGTATCGAGGTATGTAAACGCTGTTGATACATTTAAAAATAAATACACTATCGGCTACCATCATCTGTATGATATTTCTTTTCTTCTTTTTTTCAGTCGTCACTAATACTATGAAGATATCATTTGCGTGTGCACTTGTAGCTACTGTTTTCTTTATAGCTTACACTTATGTCAATATTGAATACATACTATTACAGCGTGTCGAAGGGATAACCAATGATCTCTACGGTGAAAACCATCATAAGGAATTCGACTATAATTCTTCAATAGATGTTAGTTTGGGTAACTCAGTCGCCCATGATGATGAGACCCACTCAGCGACTGAAGTCAATAACATTATGCCATGTACACCAAAAAACAATTTCATATTTGTTAAAACGTCCAAGACGGCGGGCAGCACAGTTGGGGCAATATTGTTTCGCTATGGCCTGAGGCATAAACTGATAGCTGCATTACCAAACGCATCACGCATATCAATTGCCGATGATCAAGTAAATGTGACCAGATATACATGTAACAATACATTCCCAGGATACAATTATATGGCAAATCATATCGAAAACTACAATCACAAAATATTGAATCGTTTCATCCCTAATGCTAAATTTGTAACTATAGTTCGATCTCCGTACACTCAAATGGAATCAGCTTTTTATTACCGAAACACGGATAGTAAGTTGCAGCTAAATCATTTCAGAAACCCCTTTAAAGAATTCGTTGACAACTATGAAGTAAAGTATAGTAACCACGATATCCAAGGCGCGAACGGTCAATTGAAGTATCTGGGTTACCCAAATCGGCAATACAATAATCAAAGCGCTGTTAAACAAAAAATAGCAGATTTGGATACAGAGATGGATTTGGTGTTGATCAAGGAATATTTGGATGAATCGCTCATTCTCTTGAAAAAGCTAATGTGCTGGACAATGGACGACATATTGTATGGCTGGTGCAAGCGATCTAAAAGAACACGCTACCCAATCACGAAACATATGAAGGAAATTATGTCAAAATACAACGCAGCCGATTTGCAATTATATAATCACTTTAATCGTACATTATGGACTAAAATACTAAACTATGATGGGGACTTTGAAAATGAACTTCATTTGTTTCGAATAAGACAGCAAGAAATTGCCAGTATGTGTAAGCACAGGGAAAATACCCAGTTTTGTGATGGCCTGAAAAAAGATGTTCCGAAACTCGTCAGCATCGCCAGAATGAGGCAGTACAATATATTTTGTAACCAGCATTGATTAAACGAGTCGTATTCTATTGCGTGTGTTTAATTCGTTCATTGCGAATAAAGAGACAGATGCATACAATTTGAAATTCATAAAAAGCTGCTACAAAATGTATACGCTGACGTCATTTTTTGATGGATGTCGAGTTGTGGCGTACAGAGATAACTATATACAGAGCACGGTTTCTTGAAACTATGTGAACAAATGACGTACAATGAACGGCTCTATCTTTGTTCAGCAGAATATCGATTCCAGTTTATGCCCCACTGAAATCCACTTTTAGATCTCTAATGTATTTTACCATCCACTTTTTCTCATCCATCTCTGTATTATATCGAATCAAAATCAAAATTTACTGTACTTAATTTAAAGCGATTACTATCAAGGCAAATCCTGAATTATCCACGCAAAATATTCAGCGCATGAACTGTAATTTCAGGTTCAATGGAAGATGCAGCATATGGCATGCTAATGGCTCAATCGAGGATTATAGTATCCATATTTTGAAGGTGAATTTGTTGCATAAATTATGTGTGAAGGTGATTTGAATCTATTTCATAATTCTATGTTTCTCATTCCAAACGTTTTGGTAGTAATCGAATCAATGGGTAATTATTTGAGATGAATATTGAATGTATAATATCAAGATAATTTCAACGTTGCTATGGCAATATTTGCATAAACAGTTTACATATGAGAGGTACGAAAACTATGAACAATAAACAAGTTCGGGATATTCACTATCACTCAAATTTTCTCTGCACACAAAACATTTTGAAAAAAGTATTACCAAAGTGGTATTTTCATTACTTCAATGATTGTCTGCTTAATTTAAATATATATATATATATATATATATATATATATATATATATATATATATATATATATATATATATATATATATATTATGTTAGAGCAAAAATTATGATGAAAATGATTTTAATAACTTTATTATGATATTTAAAGGACAGTGGTTGTCGCAAAGTGTCGTGCAAAATACACAAATTTGATCGCACGTTTCCCGACAACCATCGCACTACAAAAGCTAGTTTCAAAATGGCATTGCGGTAAAAAAGGAAAGAGGAAAGAAGGAAGGAAAACAAATTGTATATAATTTGGCACACTGCCATATTTTTGTTTTTGCCTATGTTTTCTGTGGTGCTTGTCTTATGTTAATTTTCTTCTTGTAGGCTATATGCATCTCCCACTCGCAATGCAATATATTGCTATACCATTTGTCATTACTATTTCTACATAAATGACTGAAGTAAATACTATTTCTTTAAATATCAGAGGCCTATGAGATTTGAAGAAGAGTAGAAAAAGTATTTCATTGGCTTAGAAAATTGTAAGCACAATATTATTATGCCGCAGGTTTGTCATTCCATCTCTGGTGTTGAGGCAAAGTGGGTCAGGCTTTTGCCTGGATGGAATAATGGTGAAATTGCTTGCCAAATCGAGTATAAATAAATACATAATTGATTAATCAATTAATTAATTGATTATTAATACCTTCTAAATTCATGTAATCCAATTAATTAATTACATAATTGATTAATTAATTAATTAATTAATTATTAATACCTTCTAAATTCATGTAATTCAAACATTTAAAATAAATAACGTTCACAAAACTAGTCATATACGTCAATGATACAATTAATGACAGTTGATTTATCATCGAATAATGAGTATGTGTATACTTTATAATATTAACCCCACTTACAATATATACTTGTACATACTCGAAATAAACCCGTACCAGCAATAATATTATTCAAGGCATATCTGTCAAAGTAAATTACCCATGCCTGAGTGAATTTGTACACTGGGACAGTATGTGCAACGTGTTTTATGGCATCAGGCGCACATAACACATATCATTAATCTACTGTGACAATCCTGCCTTTTTGTGAATATATATTGTTATTGGTTGTCTTCTTAATTACTTTTTCAGGATGCGCCATTTCTTCAACAAATCCACTGGAGTCCCTGGAATATTTTCATATGTAATGGTTTGTCTATTCATTGCTTCTCTTGTAAATTCCACAAATTGAGACCAATTTGACCAACGATTCTTGATGAATATTTTTGCTCCTAATAAGATAACATTATGTTAAGTTACGTTATGATATGGTTGGGGGACATTACTCTATATATGGGACGATGAATTGACATAAATGATGAGGTGTTTCAATTGATTCTCTGCGGACAAACATATTTCATCCCATTGCTGCTTGCTCGGAGGAACATCTCTGGGTTGTATATGTATTATGTACTATTCAAGCAGACAGTGCATTAAGTATTTCCATGTTATACTATTTGTGCATGATTTGGGAGCATTTTACAAAACAATAAAACACAATATATTCTAATACATGTAGAGTTGCTAGCATCTATGGAATTTCCATCTTCAAAATAGAGTGACCAAAATTCGATATAAACCTGATCTGCGCACGCGCAGGAATTGATTTCCAAGCGACGATAACAACACACGCTAAAAACGCAAAGGCTCATGGGTAGACCCTTGTTTGTAGACATTGACACGCTATGGCCATCTGACGCATGCGCAGGTGATCACATCAACCGACGCGTATTCACGAAATAACTGGATGATTACACATCTGTTTTTGCGTGCTGTCTAAATGTCATTATTTTCGCTACCTAGACAACAGATTTGTAGAAAAAAATACATCATCGAAATAACCCGGTGAATAGACCAATATTAATTTTTCCGAATCATATTTTCTGCGCTAAAATTTTGCCTTTATATATAACTTGACTGAAACCAGAAATCAACTTTAAGCAAATGTATATTGAATATTATGTTTTGTTGGAAAGTCAATGTTAGCTAACTGTGATGATCTGTGTATGATTCAAGGCGGATGCAAGGGACATTCACTAAATTTTGTATTTCTAGTTCGTCTATTGGTGGACTCGAACCATGCAGGCGCTAAATCGCCTTGTCCACACTATCCATTCGACGATCCTGACCCCCAATAGTTTGACAGAGTTTACCTTTGCCCTGTAATATTGGTGGAAATTAAACCTGTTAATATATGATCTTCGGTATTCGAACAAATGTGGACGAAGGCGTTCACTAGTCCACGGTGACGTCACACCTATTCAAAATGATGAGAGACATATTTATCTAAACGGAGCCAAGTTCATTGAGGAAAATATTCTATTTTGATCGACTACGGGATATTCGTATCTCCCGAGGAAGTTTAAGTGTGTTCAAACGTAATACAAATGAAACGTTTATTTTTTTTTTATTTGTATAATTACTTGCAACGAACCACTCTTGATTGGTATTGGGAAGTCCGATGAATTTAGCTAACCAACGAACATCCAGTATGTCTTCAGCTGTCATGGTGTGCATCGCGGAGTGGTGTGTAGACGTTGTTATGTATTTCTAAATTTATACACTGTATTTTAAAGATAGGAGGCCAGTTAGGAAACGAATTAATCTATTACTCGTGGGGGCGGACAAGGACAGACGTGGTTCTCTGTCTCTCCCGCGAAGTGTGATTGTTTAGTTGGGTTAAATATGTTAGAATAATGGTGTTTTTCCCAATGCTAGAAATTTGTGGCAATAACTCGCCGTCTGAAAGTGTAATCGTCGCCGTATAACGTACGTTCAGAAAGGAAAATTCTACGTCGTAGCAGTCGCCTAGTATAGAAAGAAAACCCACAAATATTAACTTGTATAAACTAAGGCTCATGTGTTTATGGTTGCAACCACATTATGACACTAATTGTCAAATCGCGTGCAATTTTGAATCGCGTGTCAGAGTATTTTGTTTAAATGGATAGTTTATGGAACGGATGTTCCCTTTATTTATAGCGTTTGACAGTTGTGATCTGTAGCGTGTTTGTTTAAATGGTGTGTTATGGTACGTTCCGCCCTTTTCAATGGGAGGCGTGCAGAAATATATAGTCTCAATAATAGTGTGTATTTAATATTCACCAATAGAACTGTGATACACAATTATTTTATTTTATTTTATTTTATTTTATTTTTCAACAGGATTTCGAAGGTGCTAAAACCCGTTTTCCAAACCTTTTAGCAATTGCTGATGTCATACCAGGACGTCGTGTTTTGTGGTTAAGCACTTGGCTGTTCGTGTTAGACACATAATTGGGTGGGAGTGTTTGCAAAATATTAAAGTAAAATATGATAACAGCGTGAAATAACTGAAAAAAAAGCTACCCAGCAAAGCTAAAAAACACAACTTTCTGGCGCTACTGTTTGCTACACGGTATACGACGATAGAGGGCGCGATTTCCTCGAAAAGAGGTCGAACGAAAACGATTTTTTTAACTGAATGCTCGATCAATTGAATTAATCTTCCCGAAATTATTTTATAAGTCAACGTTTATTTATTTATTTATTTATTTCAGGAATGATATGTATGTATGTAGTATGCATATCATGTGTTATTTGCCATTTTCCTTGGCATTCTCTTGTTCTATTCTTTTATATGCTACCTCCCGTGAATGTAACAGTAATTAATCGTCATCCACGATGTGTTTTTCTATATTCAAATGTGATGCCATTTTTATTAAAATAAATTATAACAGTTTGGTTATTGTTACAAACTGTCGACGGCGATAGTCGCTGCAACTGATTTGCACGTAAGTACGCCAAAAGCAAAATCTAAAGGTAGCTAATTTTTAGGGCTAAAGTATCTACCTTAAAGCGGAAGGGTCATCACCTGCGCGCGCGCGGAAATTGAATCCTAAGCGATGATAACAACACACGCTAAGAACGCAAAGGCTCATTGGTAGACGCTCGTTAGTAAACAACGTCACTCTATGGCCACCTGACGGATGCGCAGATGACGACTCCCCCGCTTTAATTTTGATTTTATCACATGATTGAGGGTAACCAATCAGTGTGTTCATTCTGATGTACACCCGATGGTATAAATAAAGCATTCACTTAGTTAGTTATGGGGGAACCAGAATTGTAATTGCATATTACAGCGTATGGCATGGTGGGGGGG